TTTTACATACTATATCAACTAAATGTTTCACCTTTTTATGTTAATAGATATAGATTTAGGTTGTGATTTTTGGTAAATTAAAAGTTTTTTATTTTTCTATGATTGTATCCTGACTCAACTTCATTACCAATTCTCTCAAGGGGGAGCGAAAATTCTCTCAAGGGGGAGGGCTTTTCTATCTGCTAGGATTTGATCATTGACAGTCGAAGTAGGATTGCTATCACCGCGGGTTATCTCCCAACTGATCGAGATCTAGGGATTTCAGGTTTTGGGGATTGCTGGTGTCGATTGGGTAAGTAGCAGGTGGACGGATAGCCCTATTAATAATGGTGGACGAAAGCTTCAAGCAATCTCTCTCTCCACGAAGGAGGCGGGTGAAATTGAGATCAAGTCAGAATTGGAGAAGAGTCCTTTGTTGATGCCGTACAATTTTTTCGACATTTTTTTGGATTTTTTTTGGTGATCGAATCGTTCGTTGAAGTTCGGAAATTTAGAGAGATAGAAAGTTTAGAGAGATAAAATCTTAAAAAAGATTAAGGGCAAAAGAGTAAATGGGGGGTAGTGACTAGTAAAAGGGGGGCGGTGAATAGCAGTTGAGTTTTAGTAATCAGCAATTTTAAGGGTGTGTTTGTAAAAAAATTTACTCAAACCAAATTAATATATACTCAAAATCTAATTCAACTATAACCCAACCCTACTATTCTCAATATTATCAATATAGTTAATAATAACAACCAATCATTTTTACACATCATATCAACTTTAATTCACTATTCATCCACTCACATAATTTTAACTAACCATTACTTCATATCTTTTCTCTCTGTTTGTCCCATTTGTGTTATATTTTTCTTGCTTATTTTTCTTTTCTTTTTCCCCGTTTTAGATAATTTCTTTCATTTTTAGTTCATTTAGTGTTCGGTTACATGTTTTTCCCTTATTTGAGTCTTTGCGAGTTGTTCGTGTATTTTTTTCTCGTTTTATGTTTCGTGTTTTGTCGTTTTTTTTATGGTAGGAGTCGAACGAGTTCTCTTTTTGAGAAAAGTTGGTTTGAAGGCATAAATGAATAAAGGAGTTCGTGAGCAACACATAGCAAAAAAACAGAAGTCAATTCCGAGTCCGGATGAGCGTTTACGAGCCCGAATAAGAAATCGAAAAAATACTAGTCGCTGGCCACGAAGGAGGTCGCGGCCGCGGGATATGGTCGCGGGCAGCGAGCAAGGTCGCGGGGCGCGAGCCAGAACTTCAATTTTCCTGCTTCCTGAAGTCGCGGCCGCGGGACAAGTCGCGGCCGCGAGATATTGTTCGCCGCGGGCCGTGAGTTCTTCCGCGGGTCGCGAAGGAGAATCAAAATCTTCCTGCTCTTCGAAGTCGCGGCCGCGAGATGTTCTTCGCCGCGGGCCGCGAGTACCTCCGCGGGCCGTGAGACCTGCAAATTGCTGGATTTGTGGTTTTTTCCCCTCTTTTTCTTCTTGGTGGATGATAGTGGCGAATTTTCAGCTTGTTTTTGGGCACTCACATATGATATTTGGGGAGAAAACACTATAAATACATCCTCTATATAATGTATAATTGTCCTTTATTTTATCTTCACTTTGATTCTCAATTTTCTTCAAGATTTTTCTTCATTTTTCCTAAGTGTTCTTAAGTTTGTATTTTGTTTTTTATTGGAGACATTGTTGTGCTTGGATTAAGTTTGCATTTGCTCTTGTGGAATTCTCATTTCAAGTAAGTTATCTATTTCATTTTACTTATGTTAAGGATGGCTTGTTCTAATGTGGATGATTGTGTTAAACTTATCATGAACAACTAATTCTCCAACTAGGGTTAGGGGATAATCGTTCGGTTTGTTCCTACTTACGTGTATATCAATTGCTCAATCTTTATGAGTTTTACTTATCTCACGATTAAATGCTTGATCACCATTTTAATCTAAACAATTGATTTCAAAACCGAGAGGGGCGAAATTGGTAGAACTTGGCTCGTTTAGAATAGACATGTTCGGAAGCGTATTATCTATGTGTTAATTGTCTCGTTAAATTACTCATTTATGTTTTTCCGTATATTACGAGAGTTAGTATGGTAAAACCACTAAATGAGTTAGTTGATCGAACCTTTTAACCGAGTAATTGATTACCGTTAAATTCATGTAAAACCGAAGAAGATTGTCACCGATACCCTAGTTATTTACATCTCTTGGAATTATTTTTATCATTTTAGCCCATTCATATCTTGTTAAATTGCATTTATAAGTTGTGACATTTAAATTGCTTAATTTGAGAATTTTTAGTCGATAATTAATTCCCGACAAATCGAATTAGAGTGTTTAGGAATATTTTCGTCTTTGTGATCGAATAAACGTACAAAATAGTCCGGCTAACCTTCCTTGAGAACACGACCCGGTGTTCGAATCTTTTGATTCTACTCCGGTAAAATAAAACTACAACACTCTCCTACTTTTATATTTAATCAACTTTAATTATTTTATTTTAGATATTATTTTAATATACTCTCAAAATTTCACTAACAACTAACTATATTACTTTTTTTAAATTAACTATAATTAACTAAAAAAAACTCATTTATCTTTTACAAACACACCCTAAATCACCCATGGCTCAATAAGAGTAAATGGAACACACCCTTATCATAGCCCAACACAAACTAGGGCTACTGCCTAGAGAAATTTAGACATGGCTAGCGGGCCGGAAAGCATTCTTGTTGAGGAATCCGCCAACATGGGCCAAAATCCAATAGAGAAAAAGTAGGGTTTGGTGTTGCGCTTTGCCATTGTCTTGGGTTCGGGGGGGCTGCTGTGGGTAACTAACAGCAGCCCCTACAATTAATTTTCAACCATTGATTATAAAAAAAATAAAATACAATCCAAGGGCTAGGAATGAATAAGGAATAAAGTAATAAAATGCCATCAAAATCATCAACCACGTGAACTGCTATACAGAGTACTTAATACAACACATACAAGAGAAACTCATGTACTGGGACTTTTTTTTTTTCCAATCATGTGCTGGGACTTAATACGTTATTTTATACAAATACATTATATATAATGAATAAAAAAATGTATATGTTCAAACAGAATGCTGGGAGAAACACAAACGCATGTCTCAGTTTTAACTTTTCCCCCGAATCTATCTTCATCTGTTTGTAATTAAATAGTTTAAACTTTTCCCCTGAATCTATCTTCATCTGTTTGTAATTAAATAATAGGTATAAGGTTCATTGCAGCAAATCTGAATGTACTTGTTGACCTTAATAACTTTTCAAGAATCTGAATGTACTTGTTGACCATATCAAGCATATCATCCCAATTGTGAACATGATGTATACTAATCCTGGCAAGGTGATAATAATACATCACATAGACCCCAACAAAACTAAGAAAAAACATAAATGACTTAAACTTAGTGTACGGTACTAACTTAAATCCAACACATCACTCAAATATTCACCAATTTTTCTAAGAAAGTTATTAGCTAAAATAATGACGACTGGTCTGTCAAGAGGATGACCATTGACAAGCACAAAAATAATACATTACAATTCTGAAAAATAATTTATAATTGTCTTGCATTTCTCTTGAAGTAGCCCCAAATCCCATTGACTTCCCATAATTCTGCCACAAATTCCATGCTTCATCAAGAGTGTCAAATACCATTCCAGTTCTTGGTTCGTTGTTCCGACCGCTATTTAATAAGTTACAAAATATCACATCTTCAACCATCTCGTTATCAATACAAGAATTTTTTTCAAAAATCATGTCTTTTGCACCATCCTCAGAGCTCAAATTACTCCTACATAAAAGCATATTATACACAAAATTAGAAACATATAATCACATATTAACTAAAATGAGAATAGAACAAGAATCTAAGCCTTATCTTTTAGTGTCTCTCATCAAATAGATAGTATATAAAATAAATAACACAGTAGCAAACAGAGTTGCATGCAATAATCAATCCCAAGTCTTAATCTTATTATTTCTTTTTATTGGAGGCTGAGAATAATCTATTCCTAATATTACTAATTGTTTTTCAATTTCAGGGCAGTTGATACATTTGCTTAGTTTCAAAGACATGAAAAGGATGACTCAAAACAAAGCTGCAAGGATAGAAGGTTTTGCTGCACTCATCATTATTATTGTAATAATTTGCAGAATTTTAATTGGGCTTGGAATTTTAACTGATGTTGGTATTGTATAAATAAATGACTAGCTTGGGAGTGTTATATATATACATCAACAACAGTACAGTGAACCTTCTTGCCCTTTGTACGAGTCAAATAACTTTTGAAAAATAGTTGGAAACTTGAATCCTGTTCATGGATTGGTGCTATAAAAAATACATTGTATGACATGTTATGAACAAAAGGAAATGCAAGAGAAAATGTAAGGCAACATTAGTTAATAAAAACACACACAACAGAGAATGTAGTACAGAACACAACAAATCATACTCATTGTTGCCCAACAATTCTTAAACACTTAAAATTTTATCTTCATTCCAGTAACAATAACATATCAAAACCAACTAAGAAAAATATGGAGGAGGAGAAAAAAGAACACCCAGAATATATATATTTAAAAAAAAAAAACTTACCCAATAGACATTTTTTTTCTAGGTTCCATTTTTTTGCCAATATCTTGAAAAAGTTCATCTGTTGTGAGAAGATCTAACCATATTGATGTTGTTTCACAATTTTTTGGTGACGAATCTTCTTCAATAAGTGTCTCTTCCATTTATGTGAAGTATTTTTTCCCGCTGCTTGTTCTCCCAGATTAGCAATTAGGTTAAGAAAGTTAAGTTTTATTATTTTATTCTTTATTTATTCCTAACCCTTGGATTGTATTTTATTTTTTTTATGATCAATGGTTGAAAATTAATCGTAGGGGCTGCTGTTAGTTACCCACAGCAGCCCCCCGCACCCCATTGTCTGCCTTATTTGTTATTCTTCGGGCGATAGGGGCGATAGGAGCGAGAGAGATGGGAATTCTATCGTCTAATTTTTTGGCCAACGCCAAATCCAAACTCAAGTATCTCCCGTCAGCCTTGTATTCGACTGCGTCTCATGTTAAATCTCAGGCACATGTGTCACGGGGTTTTGCGGTGGATCCCAACAACAAGAACAACGACGACAAGCTCCGGTTTCTGTTCATGTACTTTGTCAAGGATACCAGGTATGCTTCGGTAATTTCTGCTGAAACCTCGTGGAAAATAGATGAACTCCGCTCGAATAACTTCATTATGTTCACACCTCAAATTGTCAAATTCGTTAGAGCGTTGGATTGTAGATATGATATTGTCGCCAGTATCGACGAGCTGATGTTGGTGTCCAGCTGGGACGCAGGATGCTTAAGGAAACATGATATTCTTTGGAACCCCACTAGCCAAGAGATAAACATCATTCCTGTTTCCCCCTACTGTAAACGCCATTTTACGGATATGTTATTTGGCTTGGGGTTTGATCCCGCCAAGCCTCGGGGCTATAAGATTCTCAAGATTCTCATAGACTACTGTGATTTCAAAGCTCCTCCGGAGTTCAGAGCCGAACTGTACTCACTTGAAACTCGTTCTTGGAGGAAAATCAAGTATCCTTACCAGCAAGAGGGCATCCCGACTAGCCGAGGCATTCGCATAGGCGGCTCTTATTATTGGGGACTAAGTGCCAGGACTAATTCCATCATCTCATTCAACTTTGCCAGAGAAAAGTTTTCCCGTCGCCTACTTCCTTTTCCGTGGAAGATTAGATATATAGAATCCAATTATCTTCTTGGTGAGCTTGATGGCTCGCTTGCTATTCTTCTTCTGACGGATGACTGCGGTAATGCCCAAGTGCCTTATTCCACTCTTGAAATTTGGGTGTGGAATGATAAGTCGTGGTATCTAAAGTCCAAACTGGAGATCCCTGTTGCTGTTGATCGTGTCATAGGCCTCTTTGAGAATAATAAATTGTTTCTCCGGGACATCACAGGCAAGGTGCTGCTTTTCGATGTTGCAGAGCCTAGATCAATAGACATCACAGGCATCTGTGCTGATTCTAAGGTAGTTTCGATTATGCCGTATGTTGAGAGTTCTGTTCCACTCAATGCGTCAGAATAATTGGTGTTGGTGGGGGAAAAACCAATTATCATGTATGATCTTGTCGCACCTTTCTTTCATTTTAGCATTTGTTGTGTTTTGTGCATTTGTTTGTGTTTTCATTTTAGCATCTGTTGGTCAGTTTTTGGTCTTTTTGCCGTCTGATTTGTATTCTTGTTTGATGCTTCCTTTCATTCCAATAATACAGTTTTAATTTCTCAATATTTTGCCCATGTGACGTGGAGTATGCATTCAACTATGCTTCTTAGTACTGTTAGGGTCAGTTTGGTTGCCTATATTGGGCTTGATATCCTTTAAAATGTTACTATATCCATTGGTTTAATTTGTTTGGTTGGAGCAGCAAAGGCCCTTTAAATGGTCCAGGCCCGGTAGCTGTAAAACCGAAAAATCGTATAGCTCATCCGGCCCCTAGCGTGGGATACAATATCCCATTGTTTAATCTCTACCATATTTACCAAAATCCCCTAATATAAATAATATCAACAGTTCATTTTTTTCCTCGATGTAATCTGATGTTAGGGTTCCTCTCATTTTTATTTTGCGCCGCAGCAAGTTTCTGAAGCTCGTTTCTCCTCGTACATCTACATCGCTCGTCCGATTCACACAAGATATTGTGTGAATAAGATCTAGAAACCCTTGTTTCAAATTTTCCACAACATAGTATTTATTCTTTTCTTCAAATTTTATTAGATCTAACTATTTCTTTTTTGGGTGCAGATCAACTTTTGAGTCGGTGAGAGGAGAGCAACTATTCTCGGCGGCCGACGAACAATTGTGACTGCGAGAAATGAAGAAACGAAGAAAGTTCAAAAGTTGCATAAGATAAGACACAGTACACATGGTTCATTCGCCGGCGACCAAAAAAACACAATTTCGAGGGCACGCCGCTTGAAGGGTCCAACTGTGAAATATCTAACTGAAGTTCCCCGGCGACCAAAATAATCGTCATCTAAAGTTGTGTTTGTAATGGTGGTTTTGGCTTGCTGGAGAATTGGTACTTAGCGCAGGGACAGAAAAAGAAGACCAAGGGACAAAAAAAGAAGAAAAGAAAATATGTAATTAAAAAAATGTTAATCTCGGTCAGTATTTAACGAACCAAATGAAATATAGATGGGATTAACATCTGTATCAATATGTTAAAAATGCAACCAAACTTTATATTGCAAAGGATAAAAGCCTTGCTACATCAAGGCCCAAACTTAATAGATTGTATCAAGCCCAATCTGTCAAAGTAACCAAACCCACCCTTACTTGATATAAACTTCTAGGAGTTTGCACCTTATCCCTGTACAAGCTGTCCCTGGTCCTATTTTCCTGAATGAGGAATAAGATGGTCAGCATAGTGGCTGATGAATGGACCTAACGCTCTGTCTGTTGTGTTTGTTGCTGCCCCATTCAGATATAATTTGATCCGACTTTGTCATGATATCAATTGCATTGTCATAGTTAGCATATGCTAAGCAAAGAAAATGTTTGCTTCCCACGCTGAAATCATTAAAGGTAGCTTTGCCTTGTAGATGAATATGTGATGGTCAAAACATTTGCTGATTTTATGTCAGTCTCCAAACATCGGCTGGTGTTTTTTTTTATCCTCAATCTCAGTTAGTAAAGGCTTGGTGCTTGGATACCATTTTAAGCTAAATAAGCCTTTGTAATGCATTGTTTGGCGATATGAACTTGTTGGCCAAGTGGAGTTGCTGGAATTGAATCAATAACTGATTTATCATTTAGTAGGTTGGTCCCTTTTCAAATTTGGTTGTGAGGCAACGATAAGAGTGACCTAAGCTTGTATGAAAATTGAAAACTGACATTTCATTATTTGATTCTATTTCGGTGGAGATGACACACACCACGATACCATTGACACAGGTCCCTACAGTTTGCAAAATAAATTAGTTATGGTCCTGTAGTTCATAAAAAAACTGAGTTGTGAAAAAAGATGGTCCTATGGTTCACAAAAGAACGTAGTTATTATAGTTCTTCAAAGAAATTAATGATGAAAAAAAAAATGCATATAATCAGTATCTCAGGAAAAATGTAGAAAAGAATAATCTGAATTTTATACAAGAAATAATTGATTCATACGCTATTATTTTCTCAAATTTGATCTATTACCCACAGTGACGGATCTAGGAATTTTATTCAGGGGATCTGATTTTAAATGTTAAATAATGAACTTATAATTTAAGTCGAAACGTTCATTTCATATAAAAATGTATTTACTAGTAAATATAAATATCGATATGTGTCATCAGTTTTTTAAAATATTATAATTCGTATCACCCTCAAACTTTTACAAAAATAAACAAAAAAAGAAAAAGAAAAAATAATCGAGATTATATAATTTAAATTCAACATCTATAATTTATGAAAAAATATGGTGCTTATAATTTGAGTAAAAAAAATAAATGATAAGACATGGATAAAATCTATAAACTTTGATTCTTTGATACATTTACATTAAGGATGCATCCTCAAATTTCTGTATTAGTCCTCAACTGAATTTACATATCCCCAAATTTGTATAACAATCTCACCACAACAAATTACCTGTGCCGAAACAAAATACCATCAGCAAGTCCAAAGAATTTATATGTCAAATTTCTGTACACTGAATTTTTTTATCACATTAAACAGCATGGACCAAACCTTCTATTTGAAAAGAACGAAATAAAAACAAAAAAGAAACGTGTGTATATGGGATGCACCTTTCGAGTGGGTCAATTGCAATGCAGTAGCAACATGATGTATGGGCTATAAGGGTACTAACTGTACGGATTCATGAGTATGCAAGAACTTATAACCATGGGGCGGAGCATAAATGTCAACACATTCAAACGACAAATATGAAAAAACCCAACACACAGGTAACCTTTCTTCACAGAAAACCTTAATCCTCAACATTTCCATTAGTTAAAAAAAGAAAATATCACCAGTCATGGTCCACGCAATCTCACTCACCAGAAGTGGCAATATCAGAAAATGGAAATTAGAAAGTATTAAGGAAAGAGTTACCTATCTGAATATGTATTAATTAGTATAACAGGATGGCAATAAGAAGGCAGAGTAAAAAATGAACTAAATGACACCTTCGTGTAGCAGCTGGCATAGTCTGATACGAAAGAGTTAATGCATGTATAATGAATTTATTTCACTTTACTGACTTGTAGAGTTGAAGAAAAAAAATATTTCAATTATGCCAACAGTTGAAACCATGAAACACAACAAGCATTCAGAACACGGGAAATGATAGATAAGCACCTTAACAAAGCTGATAATAAATATCTATCACCTAGTAGTTGAATTTGCATTTATGTACATGCTTGAATTTTCGTACATCCATTTTGGTTAAGTCGTCATCCTGGATAAAAAAAAAAAAAGAAAAAAAAAAAACGAAGGAAAAAGAACTAGAAAGGAAGACAATCGACTTATTGTCAAGAAAGACACCAGCATTGGCATTAAAGCGCCAGGGCACAGCCTTTTCCGGACTCCAAAAGCCATTGGTTTGTGCGGATCCATCATTTTGTATTTCTCATCAAGAGATCTCTCGGGGTTCCAGCATTTAGGATTTTCCCATACTTTCTTGTCGATGTTATATCCAAAGATATTTAAAGCAATCTGCACAAAAAAAATAAAAAAATAACCTCAGCTAGCAATCCTTCTAGACGGAAAGTGGATGTTTAAAGGCTGCAAATTCAANAAAGAACCACTAGAGATGGAAAATAAATAAAACGACAATTTTACTTTTTTCTTTGTAGTTTGCAAACATTCTTCTATGTCTGTTCTAATCAATTAATCCAGTTGAATTTAACATATAACGGGTAACAGCCTGTAGCAGGCGGGTTTACTTGTTTTGGTGTCAGTCCGAAAAGTTCCTATTGGAACATTTTTCTTAAATTAACGGTTACAGGATTTTGAAAATAGTAAACAACCTAGAGTGAGTTGCATCTTTAGGATATATTACAGTAATTTGGAGAGAAAATAATTCAGTAATAACTACTAATCCTCGAAGATCTAATGGTACTAAATAACTCAGTAATTCCAGACATACCTACTATCAGCTTGCCCAGTGAACCTTTTGGAATTTCCAGCCTCTGCCTATCATTTCCGACATTATAAACAACCTGCTTATCAATTATCATGTGCACGCAGACAAAGAAAAAATATTAAGAATTTTAGATTCCCTAGGCTTTACTTTGTTACATTTATGTTTTGTTCTTCTGATTGAAAGGGGCTTATACCTGAACTGATGGCACACCCTCCCACAGTCTGTTAAGCGTGCAAAGCTCCCACATGATGGCATCCAGGGCCCTGAAAGACTATCCTCATGCTGGCTGTTAATGTACACAACCCGCTTTTCTTCATAAACGACGAATATAATGTACCCACTTGTCCTCTACTCACCAAAGTGCCTTAAAACAATGTGATAAGTGATTACTTAATTTTTTTTCCGTAGGCTATGAACATTCAAGTCAATATGGCTATTGGATACACGAATGTTGTCACCCGACACGACTCTGGAAAAAAATCTGACTGAATAACCGCACTTCAAGTGAGCATAAGCTCCATAAACTAACCAATTACTCAGTACCATGATTTAAGAAAGAAATAAACTACCCATTGATGATGAAGGCAAAAATATATGCTGTCCCCACCTTCATCTGGTCATTGGATGCGTTTTCCTTCGCGTTGGGTGTGGTTTCGCTCTCATGTCTCTACTGCTTCCTCCAAGGTGGATCCCTCGACGCCTTCAGGTACGGGGTAACTCCCTCAGGGATGGCTCAAGATGTCCTGCAAAAAACTCTTGATATGAAAAAGTTGATGCGCAGAGAAAGCATGTGAAAGAAATCAAGATAATTAGAAAAAACTACCCTGAAGTTTGGTTATTTAATGGAGAATGGAACATATAGAACCACGCTTGAGGTTTTTGTCCATCTTACGTTTTCCCCAGAGTTGTGTATTATTACACATGTCAACTAAATCGATAGATGAGGTGCAAAATATATAATTTTCTACGTTAGGTGGAAGTCTATTGTAATTCGCTCTGGTTTCTAGATGGTTTCCACAACTATTAATACTTTTAAACTAAACGATTTCATGAACCTCGATTGTAATATTGGTATCGACTCTGGGGCCTAGAGCAGAAGTGTTAAGAAACCAGGAGGACTTCCAAGCTGAAGGAGATTCTATATTCCTCTTGAATGGTATAGCTATGAATCTGCAAAGAAAAAATAATAATAGAATAGTAAGAATAATAAGAACTGGGGAAAGAATAATAGAAGCACACAAACACGAAAACTAAAACCGAAAAAAAAAATAAAAATAAAGCCCTTCCAACAGCCGGGCTACACCAAGAAACCTCGAAAGCAACATCACGATCGACCACCGAAACAGGCCGGTCCACGATCCAAATATCAGCAACAAAAACTACCAAACAAGCCTAACTGGAGTCGAAACCTAAAACCCCAAACCCGCGCCCTAGCAGCCAATCACAACCCCTCAGCCGGAGGACAGCCGAAAACCCCCCACCACACCACCACCACCCCGTTCCCAGCCCACACCACAGCGGGCCCGACGTACCGGCCATCCCGTCCTCCCTAATACCAGGGGAGAAATCAACATATCTCTCGACATAAGGCATAATCCAAACTGCCTTAGAATCAGCACATATGCCTAGATCTAGCGATCCGGGCTCTGCAACATCGAAAAGCAACACCTTGCCTGTGATGTCCTGGACAAACAATTTACTATTCCCAAAGACGCTCAAAACCTGATCAAAAGTCCCTTAATTTTTTTGTTTTCGTTTGTTTTCCCTTTTTGTTGGCGTCGATATTGATGATATGCGTGGGTGATCTTTATTTTTTGTCGTGATTTGCGGTGGATACTGTGTAACCTCTGTGTAAATTGTTGTTGTTTATGGACAATAGAATAAACATGAGATTTTTATTGTTAAAGAAAAGATCAATGAAGAACTGTAGAACATCTAGCGGTGGCAGTTATCTAGATTGAAAATGATAATTTAAATGTTCAGCAAACTATGCATCCATTTAAAACTAAATTTGAGCCGGTTGTGAGAAACCCGTTTCTTGAACAAGAAACGGGTTTCTTGAACAAGAGACAGGTTTCTTGAGCAAGAAACCTGTTTCCTGAACAAGAAACTCGTTTTTTTGAAGCACAAAAACAAGAAAACAATGGGAGTTCCAACTAAACAAGAAAAATATGTTCTGCAGGAGTTTTCCTCCCACATTGGGGAATTTTTCGCGAGATCTAACGTGACTCGCGGAGAATAAAAACAATGGAAAAGAAGCAAAAATATCATTGATCAAGAAACAAAACACAACCCCTTTTTTCGAAGCACAAAAATTCAATTTTTTTTAACTCCAAAAAAATATGAGTTCAACAAAATAAACTCCATTTTTTTAACTACTAGTGAAATCGGTAGTCGCACATGTTTCTATCTCCACGAACAATGTCGTGAACTCTATTTATGAAAGCTTCATATGATGAGGTCCTAAGACTGAAAAAATTCATCTCTGTCTCACCATTTTTGTACACATTCTCATTCCAAAAGGCATTGTGAACAATTCACATTTTACCAACGTCCATCTAAAAAAAAATAATAATGAAAAAGAAAATCTTATTACAAATACTTTCTTCAACTTTTTTTTTCCTTCAAATGTGTTTAGACTAAACTATATGAATACAAGACACAGTTTCTTGTTCAAGAAATAATTTCTTGAACATGATACAGGTTTCTTGAACAGACACGGGTTTCTTGTTCAAGACAGCTGTTTTTTGCTTAAGAAACCGGTTTATTGCTCAAGAAACCCGTTTCTTGTTCAAGAAAATTGTTTCTTGCTCAAGAAATTGTATATTCTTCAACAAAACACGAAATTGTTTTTTGAACACGAAACTGTTTCTTGAAAAAAAAATTCTTAATTACTGTGCAACTTTTCAAAACGACACTTATTAAAAATAGGAGAGAGTATCAATTTTGTAACAAATCAAAAGAAGCTTTCATATATCGAATGGCGTACACGAGAGACCCTAGATTAATTGGGCCGGGAAATGAGCGGAAGACAAGCATGATTTTGGCGAGATGGACGGTGAAGATGGGCCGAGCGAAAGTGAATTATACGGTTTTCTTTTGTCGGGCTCTTGAATTTGATCTGAGCTGATTTCGCGAACCATGTAGTTTTTGAGCCGTCTTATTTCGGATAATTTCACGGGCTTCACTATGAAGTCCTCATCACCTTCTTCAAGACATCTGATAATATTAATATTTAACATCAATTAACAAATCAAAAAAACCTCGAAAAAAAAAATTGGGAAATTTGATAGTGTACACAAAATTTAAATCACCTTTCAATTCGAGGCATAACGTTTTCTGATGACATAATCACAACTGGTATTTCTTTAAAATTAGATGAACCCTATGCACAATATTAAGAAATTCTCTGTAGTTAGTAAATATATATATATATACATTTTTTATTTTTATTTTTGTTAATGATTAACATATCTTCATCAACCATTTTATATTTATTTATTTATTAATCTGACCTTAATCTTTTTCAGCAACTCATAGTCCTTCATTCCAGGCATAGAATAGTCTATAATTATCAGATCTACTTTGAAGCCCTGAAAGGCCAAAATCAATGTACACCCAAAATATCATTTAACCAACAATAATAGTTAAATTGAATAAACAATTAAATAAATATATATAGTTCATAAAAAAATGAAAAATGAAAAATAACAACTTAATTACATCAAATTAACCAAATTTTTTTCTTCTCCATCCAATCCTAAAAACTACGAAGCCTTTCTCCCACTATCAACTGTTGTCACTGCGCAACAAGCTCAACATTGTTAAATTTCAAAATAAAAAGAACAAAATAATAATAATGTAATGTGCTCAATATAAAGTAACGAAAATAACACCCAATAAAAAAAAAAAATACTATGGAGGAGAGAACAATGGAGTGAATGGGGATAATTTTTGAAAANTTGGTAGGTAAAACATTAATAAGGGTAGAATTGTATTTTTAACACTTAAATTGGCTATATTTCATTCTTTTACAAAAGATGGCTATATGTCATTTTTTCCTTCAAAAAAGTGTTAGAAAACCGAGCCTCTGGTTTAGTAATTAGCAATTATAAATCACCCATGGCCCAATAACAGTATATTGAACATACTCTTATCATAGCCCAAAACAAACTAGGGCTACTGGCCTATTTAGACATGGCCAGCGGGCCGGAAAGCATCCTTGTTGAGGATTCCCGCCAACATGGGCCAAAATCCAATCCAGAGAGAAAAAGTAGGGTTTGGTGTTGCGCTTTGCCATTGTTTGCCTTGTTTGTTATTCTTCGGGCGATAGGGGCGATAGGAGAGATGGGAATTCTGTCGACTAATTTTGCCAAATCCAAACTCAAATATCTCCCGTCAGCCTTGTATTCGACTGCGTTTCATGTTAAATCTCAGGCACATGCCAAATCCAAATGATGCAATTTTAATTTCTCAATATTTTACCCATATGCATTCAGCTATGTTTCTTCGTATTATTGGTTTATATGAACTACTAGTTGTTTGCACCTTATCCCAATACGAGCTGTCCTAGGTCCTATTTTCCTGAATGAGGAATAAGATGGTGAAAATAGTGGCTGATGAACGGTCCCAACGCTGTGTATATTGTGTTTGTTGCTGCCCCATTCCAATCTAATTTGATCGACTTTGACATGTTATCAATTGCATTGTAGTAGTTACCATTTGCATAAGCAAAGAAAATGTATGTTTCCCACACTGAAATTCTAAAAGGTAGCTTTGCCTTGTAGATGAATATGTGATGCTCAAAACATGTGCTGATTTTATGTCGGTCCTGGAACATGGGCAAAT